CACAGTCATTCATTCCGTTTGTTTAGAACTCTCCGGTTGGTTACCGCCGTGTCCCCTCTCTCTCCCCTTTAGAATCGAATGCACGAGAGCATGAAGCTGTTCGACTCTATCTGCAACAACAAGTGGTTCACAGACACCTCCATCATCCTCTTCCTCAACAAGAAAGACCTGTTTGAGGAAAAGATCAAAAAGAGCCCTCTCACAATCTGCTACCCAGAATATGCAGGTGAGAGAGAGAGACAGAGACAGAGACCCACATACAGAACAGAAACGCTCCATGAAGATCATTTGTGTTTGACATGCAAATACTGTACTTTGTATGTTTAGTGTTGCACATGAACCATTTAGTCCAGAAGTATATCTGGTATTTATTAGTAAGATTGTCTGCAGCTTCACAATGTTTTCTTCGGTCACACAAATTCAACAGCTTTTAGCAATGAAACAAAATGTATTTACGGTTTTATAGGTAAAGGGCTAATGTGGTATGATATGCTTTTTATACATGGCTGCAATCCAAATACGATTATGTAGCATTCTACATAACAGCATGTTGCTTTGGTGTTCTGTGCTTTTAGTCGGCCCGTTGTTGCCACTTTAGGGAGCTGCAGGCTGCTGCTGACACAAAGATGTGTCTTTATTCTTCCCTCTGCTCTTGAACCGTGTGGGCTGCGTCATGTTGTTAACAATGTATCCTTGTTGGATTTATTCACACTCCTCACAGATAGGTTTTTAAAATCTAAAACCCGACAAAACATGTCTGCATTTGAGGTTCGAAACAAGGTCTCCACGCTCAATATAAACGTTGGTTGTTTAGCTACGAGGTTAACAGCCCACAACCAGCAGACCCCCACGTGATTCCCTTTCATCGTACAAGTCGCTTTTTTAATTGTATCTTTTAATGCAGCAAAAACAAAAAACGCATCCCCTTCCTCTTATTCCCAGTACAACAATGAAAACAACGAATCCCACCATCGTCTGATGAAACGAGCACAGTATCAATGAAGCTGTGTCATGCAGGTTGACCTGCCGTTTGCTAAATACATATGCTGCAGTCAAGCTAATTAAAAAAAGTCACTATTTCCCTCACTGGGTGCACCTGGACAATCTAAGGGCATCCAAAACCGCAGCTGTACATTTAATTCTATTGGCAATTACATTATGTTCATATTATTAAGGTAATAGTGGTGTTGTTGTGATAGTTTAAACAATATTTTATCCAAGTATACTAAACCCTTTTCAGTTAATACCGAGTGATACTTTTCTGATTTTGTATGTCCGTTACAAAGAGAAAGAGAGAATGTCTCTAATTACATTTGATTAAACTCTGTTCTGCTCTGTTTCTCATTGTATCCTCTTCGTCCTCCTTCAGGCTCCAACACCTACGAGGAGGCAGCAGCTTACATCCAGTGCCAGTTTGAGGACCTGAACAAGAGAAAAGACACCAAGGAGATCTACACCCACTTCACCTGCGCCACCGACACCAAGAACGTGCAGTTTGTGTTTGATGCCGTCACCGACGTCATCATCAAGAACAACCTGAAGGACTGTGGCCTTTTCTAAAGGTACCGCCTGCCGCTTCCGGGCCGAGCCGGGCAAATAGTGCGGCGTGTTCTGTGGCGTTGTCCTCCTCTCATCGCGGTGTCTTTTGTCTCCCTCTTTTTGTCCAGGCGGCCTGGTCGCCGGCATGCCGAGTGACTTTATTCAAAGGGACTCGGACTGGAGGGAACCTCGTGGACCCTGCTGAGAATGTCACTTTTAACCTCTTATTAACTTATGTTCATCTCTAAAAGACGGTGTGTAGAAAACAATTTGTGTAAAATATATTTGTACAACTGTCTATGGATGGGTATTTTTCACAGTTTTTAAAATGTGCTTGTTTTACCTTTTTATTGTCATTATTTTATATAAAGGGGGGGGGGCCTTGACTTCTTTTATTTTTTTCCATGAATGAACACGTTCGTTTGTAGGTCTTGTGCCTTGCATGCTTTAGTTGCAGTGTGTGTTCTTTTTGTTGAGTTAGATGTTAGGTTTATGTAAATGTTACCATTGAACTCTCTCCCGAGCCGCCCCTCTGCCCCCGAGTCTATATGAACTGTTTCTTTCTGATGCTGTCGTTGTCGCATCATATATATATATATATATATTTTTATTTTTTATTTTTTTTGCGTCCTTAGACAAACCAAACAAGACCAATTCACTCTGACATACTGTGAGAGGCGTGTGGGAAAACTTTTCGGATGTGAGATTTGCATGCAAGTTGGAGCTTCGATTCGATTTTAGGGCAAAAGCTGGCGCGAGTGATTGTGTGTGTGTGTGTGTGTGTGTGAGATTGCGTGTGTTAGAGAGAGAGCGAGAGAACGTGTGCACAATGGAAAAACAAAGGGACTTTATTCCTCTACTTGTCATCCTCTTTCAAAGTTTTATTTTTCTAAGCAACCAAAAAGAAGCTACTCTGTAATTAACGAGTGGGCGGTGTTGGTGCGCCTCGACAAACTGTAACATTCCTTTATTGAGTCCAGAAGCAAAGAGAAGCTTTGAAAAGAGGATGCCAATGGTGGCCTTGTAGCAAATGGTAGGACCACGTGTAGATCCGTGCTCAGTGCACAGACAGATCGTCATGCCTGGGTGCACTGCTGATGATCGTGATGTGTGATGGTTTCAAGTTACATATCCCCCCGCCCCTGGACCCCCAACCTTCTGTTTCCATTGGATGGGCACATTAGTGGACTAATCCCCATGATTTTCCTAATAAAAGAGCTGCTGTGGTAAAACTATGGCAGCTTATGCAACAAACTAGTATTTCTTGATTTTTTTAATTTTTTTGTGTCAAAGATATGGTAGTAAAGATGAACTGCATTACACCTACATGTGGGAAAAACATGCTTTTGAATACATGTTTCAGCGATGCCAAATATCCCATTTTATTTACAAAAGTACAGCAAGCAGCTTTTGTCCAACGTCTGGAATAGCACCAGAAAACTGTCGAGGGCCAGTTATTTAGTGCCTTTGTAGACAAATGGAAGATTCTCAATAAATGCCCTGCAGAAATTGTTCAAAGACTCCTAACAACCCCGCTCTGCTTAATAATTTGTCTGACATGTTTTCTTTAGACAATCAATCCAGTATATTACTTGGAAAGTCTTCACAGGAAAGCTACTCCATGCCAAATATAGCATCCATTAGCACATGTGCTGATCATAAGATGTCTCCTACTCCTCTGGGAAGTTGTGTTTACTTGTTTTGTCCTTCTAGTTTCAAATCACAAGCCTGGCAGGTGCGTTTCAACAAAAATAAAAATTGTCAACACGTTTGGAAATAGACTTTAATGTTTGTCCTAGAAGCCATCTGCTCACCGCAGCTGCCAGTAGCGTTTCACAGTGTCTAGTTCCCTCTAGTGGTCCACTGGTGTAACTGCCTGTAATGATGAAGCCTGGTCGCTGCTTGATGATTACAAAGGAGACAACTGAGGAAAATCTAATCACAAGATTTAATATAATTAACAGATTGTCCGCGACAAAGATGAATTGGCCTCTTTTATTAAATCTCCGTTGGAAACGCCCCAAGATTAGGACTAATTATTCCTGAGCTAGAATGAGAGTGATTTTCTACCAAGCTGTGGTGCTTTAAAGAAACTTTGTGGCCCGGGATCTCTCCCAGTACTCATGAGCCGATGAGCCGGCGAAGGAATTGGTTTGGAGATAGTGATGGGATTATCGTAACAATTGTTAACAAAAAGGACCGTCTTTCCTGTATCGGGTGGGCAGCACAAGTAAAACACCCGGTTATAGTTCCATGTGTGCTTCATCCAAACACTCGCGTACTTACAGAGTAGTGGAGCCGGTAGTCGTGGTTCTATCAGCCCGTTCATGTCGCTCTGCTGCCGTAACTTCGCCTCGTCCGCTCGGAGCTCTGCAGGCGTCTAAGAACTCGCGCATGCGCGTTACAGATGTGAGCGGAGTCACGTGTTTACAAGTAATGTTTGAACCTGCCCGCATTATTATGTCTTAAACGCATCTTATTAACAGCACGCAGTCCGTAGTTTCATATTTATGGCGTTTTAAGCGAAATAGTAAATACGTTGAAATTACGTCTTCGCGTAGACCAAATTTCGCCGACCAGTTCATTAATTATTATGAAAATCTTAACGTTAATATCGCCTATCTTTCAACCTTACGTTACATCATGACACATTTATCAACAAATTGACGTTTTCTGGCACGTTGATGTTTCATCCCATTTTTAGCCGGTTGAAAAGACGTTGAAATGAGGTCTTAGACGTTCAGACCTCATTTCAACCCGATTTCAACCATATTTCAACGTTGAAATTACGTCTTGTGCTCACTGGGGAGAGTCATGCAGTCATCCCTGTGCACTTAACTTCATACGTTATATAATTGCTATGATGCCATCGATCCACACAAAATGACACATCTTTTTGTTGCCATTACTTTTTCACTTTTTCAGTCATGCTGCCAAAAAACTTACTTTTTGGCAGCATGACTGAAAAAGTGAAAAAGTAATGGCAACAAAAAGATGTGTCATTTTGTGTGGATCGATGGCATCATAGCAATTATATAACGTATGAAGTTAAGTGCACAGGGTGCATCCAAACTAACTGCAGATACTTTCTAGCTTAACATTTAAGGATACCAAAGCAAACCTGTAAAACAACAAATCAACTAAATAATTACTACAACCAGAAATTTGAGGGTCTGGAGCCCCGCAGAGGTCTCCAATTGTGGGTACATAAGAATCTGCAGCGAGGTAAGCGCGCCTCCGGTGTTACTCCCCCCGCCCGCCTCCCTCGCTTCCTCTCCATCCTCCCCGCGCTGAACCAGAACCACTCGCCTTCTGTCGGGCTTCACATCCGGGTCATCCCGCTGCTGTCTCGTCTCACTCGCGTCCGTGTGTTCGACCGCGGTGGTAAATCCTTTTTTCGTCTTTTCCGCCGCCGCGCGGTGGGGGGACGGGGGGGGCGGGGGGCGATGGAGCCGCTGTGAGGCTGCAGCCCGGTTCGCACAAAAAAAGGGGGCTGTGATGACACGGTAAGGAGGGGCTAGCGTGCGGGCCAGTGCGCGGCGGATCGACTCGAGCCCCAACGATGTCTAAGAGCCTCAAGAAGAAGAACCACTGGACCAACAAAGTCCACGAAGCGGCGATCACCCGCGGCAAGGACGGCGAGCTCGGGTTCGAGCTGAGGGGGGGCGCGGAGATCGGCCAGTTCCCCTACTTCGGCGAGGTGAGGCAGGGCAAGGGTCTGCTCCAGAGCGGGAAGCTGGCCCAGGATGAGCTGCTGCTGGAGGTCAACAACATGCCGGTGGCCGGGCTCACCACCCGGGACGTGCTGGCCGTGATTAAGCACTGCAAGGACCCGGTCCGCCTCAAGTGTGTCAAGCAAGGTGAGGAACGGCGAACGCGGAGTGGCGGGGCGGAGTGCGTGCGTGCACGTGCGTCGCTGGTTTGATTAAGATGCCAGTTGTGCAGTCATCTGTCAGTGTGCTCCGCAGGGCTCGTTGCCGGTGAACTGGGACGTAACGGTGGGTTCGGTCACTACGGAGAGCAGTCGCCGCTTATTTACCACGGCGTCGCTGGTTCGACGCCACCGCCTGCAGGGGAGGGAGGGAGGGGGGGGGGGGCGTGTCCGCTTAGGCGTCACGCCACAGACAGAAGGACAGGCAGTCTGTCTCATTACACCACAATCACATATTGATCAGGTGTGCCGTCTACTTGGTGTGCATTAACACACACACCCCACCCTCCCACAGTAGGAAGACGTCCCACTAATTGCAGACACGCAACAAACAAACCCGTTCCGCTGTGAAAGGGTCCCGTGTTCGCATGTGGAGATGAATTGTGCAGGTCTCTTGCCGTCACGCCTCGAGGAGCTTTGGAGTGTTTTGTTATTGTCAGCTGGTGCTGTGTGTGATTATTGTGGCCTCCTGAAGCTCGAGGCTTGTTCAGCAGCGTACAGAGCGGATTCGTGGCCGCGGCGTCGACCTGAGTGACCTGCTTCTGTCATCTGGCGTGGCGAGAACATCGCGTCGTGCGGAGGAGATGCTTATCGTCGCACCCTCTGCGGCTCACTTTGAGGGGCTGCATTCTCAGCCATGAAATGAGCATTAACAGTGGCTTGTTTCTGGGACGAGAGGGGGAAAAAACACGCCACTTTTTGCCACTATATTTGGATAATGCTGAGTTTGCTCACAAAGGATTTGTCTCTCGCACTCCTCGCCTGTCCGCTCGCGCTCTGTCCCGGTGTTCCTGGGGGTCGCTTCACCGTAATTGCATATCGAGTGAGAGCGTAAGAGCACTGTCCTGTGATGTGTCAGGGGTTAAATGCTGATGTGCATGTATCTCAGACAGGTCTGCGCCCCCCCCCCCCTCCCTCTAATCCATTTAAACATAAAGCTGTTTGTTGAACCGCCCACCTCACACAGCTGAACAGGGCCTTTTCGTACTTCGTACTCGCCCTCTGCTGCGTGTGCACAACTCGCCGTCGCCTTATACGTTCTTATGCTCCGTTCGGTCTCTGCTGCTGTCATATGTGCATTTCCCTCCCGCCCGGTGGAGAGTGCCCTGCGTTGACGGCAGTGTGCTGCCAGACAGTTCGGGACACGCTTGTGGCCCACCGAGGAATCGGCTACAACTATAACGGGCTATTTTCAGGTCAGGTGGAACACCCGTCCCCTGAGGGAGTACATGAGTGACAGCGCGGGCCGATGGACCTGCAGAGTGAGCTCACAGTCTGTCTGTGCGCTGACCTCCTCTCATCCGCTCTACTTACCGACTTCGGAGGGAACGTGCACGTCCGGATTAGGGATTCCTCTGTGTAGAGACGCCGCTGTCACACAGCTTTAACTGGATCGGACTTGGTCCATCATTTCTGGTGTCGCTGCATTTCCTGGCCGAACGTGCCGTTTTTCAATGATGGTTCAATGCAAGTTCCCTTGTCACGACATGCAGATGGGAGTTGCAGTGTGTGTCTGTGTGTGTGTGTGTGTGTGTGTGTGTGTGTGTGTGTGTGTGTGTGTGTGTGTGTGTGTGTGTGTGCATCAAAGGGTCTCAGTTCACACAAATGGATGTGCTTCAAATACATCCCAACTAAATGGAAAAACGAACTATTTGTATATTTATGCAAGAGAAACTTTGCAACCGTAAGATGATATTACCTCAAATCTATTTAGCTTCTTCAGTTCGAGCGTGCCAGCGTTGTACATGCTCACTGGCACGCTGCCATGACTTATTGGGACACTTAAATAGAACAGCAATTGTTTGCGTTGTTGGTAACTGCTATGAAAAGTAAAAATGTCTGCAGGGAAAAGGCTCCTCTACACAGCAACCCATGTATTATTACACACACACACACTCTCTTTTTAAAGGGTTGTTTTTGAGCTTCAACGATGAGATTATTTCCAAATGCATTCATAATTAAAAAAACATACCGATTTTCTTTTTAAATGCTGGTTACCAAATATTCTCGGGCTCTCTCCGCCTGTTTGTAATTATCTGATAAACATCTTTTGTCCGTGTTCATCTCAATCCAATCAGCACCCACGGGAGCGAAGTCAAAACGGCTGTTGGGTTCAGTGAGGCAGATTTCTAGAAGTGGAGCCACGGAGATCATCACCGCCGAGAGGTGTTAGAACTGTATGCAGGGAAGTGCGATTGTGTGTTTTTGTTTGTGTGTGTGTGTGTAAGTGAGAAAGCGGGATGGAGTTTCAAAAGAATAGTATGGCAAAGGTGTGAAACAGATTATTCACATCATCTCTAGCAGATTACTTATTTGAAAAGTAAGTAGATCCTTTTGTTTCTTTATTGTGCAGACTTCTCGTCATAATGACCAATGGACAAACTATTAGGGTGAACGCCTTGTCTTTGTCTTTCATTGGTCCCCTGACAAGCTAAATTACAGACTTTATACGACATTGTTTCCTAGTATTTGGTTTTGTTGGCTCTATTTATGTGCTCCTTAGCACTATTTCTTTCCTGTTTTTCTCTGTTTTCAGAACAAGGGGAAAACAATATTTCCCACAATTAAAGAAGTATTTTACCTATAAATACCAAAGCCCTCTTTTGGTTTCCTTTAATCAAGTTACAGTCACTACGATACAAATTATATAAATAATATTAATGTCAGTTTTTTTTAACCGTGTATTTTTTCATTCAGATTACATTAGAATCATACCGGGATGAAATCACAACATCCAAGAAATGCAAACATAAAGCCCAGAGACATGCCACTGCTCACTGATATTCATTTTCCTCTATCCAAATTGTCTTTTTTGCCTCTTCGAGAGGATTGTGGAGGAGAAAGAGCCCAGGACGTTTCATTCCTCCGTGTTTATGAGAACAATATGTGGAGCTTTCTGAGGAAAAACAACAGGAGTTCAAAATGTTAACGTGCCGTTTGACATCCAAATTGGAGCTCGGGCATCCTCACGCTGTGCAGCAGCTCTCCACCGCAGCCCGCACAGGCTAAGGGGCTATGTATAGTTTATATTATAACTTCCTGTCTAGGAAGTCCTTTGACCATCCCTAGTGCCCATCTGCTGCCTCCACCAGCGAACTCCAGAACAATGGTTCCTACAGGTATTTATAACAATGCTTAAAGGTGTGAAAGTCAGTGTCCACACCTCTGGGAGTCTTCTGGTGAGTTCAATGTAACTCGGATTTCGAATGATCCTTAGTCAATATCAGTTGTTGTTCAAGTATTACATGCATGCATTCCAGTTGATTACATTACATCAAATACAATCATAACTGCATTGGTATTATTCTAGTACAATTGCAGAATTACAGTGGTTTTACAATATTGTCATTACTTTATTGATTACACAGTTTCAGAATCATGGCTGTATTCTGGTGTACACTATATGCATTTTATTAATTTTATGAACCGGATCGTATATTTGTTTCTAATATCCTACACACTTTATGAAAGAATCCAAAGGACCCAAAGAAAATGGGTCCCGGAATCCAGAGATAAAATGTTCTACCTATTTATTGTCTATGCTGATTTCTGATTGCAATTTTGGATTTTGTTAAAAGAGCCCCTTTCTCCTCCTGAGAATTGCATGCTTAAGTTATAATAAGCTGTGCTTGCTAAGCTATTTTTGGATATACGCACCAAGCGGAAGGAGTTTAGCTTGACATTAATGCAAGCACCAATCTGAGATGCATTAAATAACTGGTGTACAATTTGCATTTTTTATGTTTTGAGAAAGTGCACCCTGGAGGATTGTTGGAAGTTGTCAAGTTTCCATGTGGTGCCCGTCCTCTTTGGCTGCAGTACGGCGGGACAGATTGAGCAGAGGGAGTGAAGGCGACCTTTTTCTCTTTGTGTCGCTTTGTTGATGAGGAGCTTGAAGAATCAGTGCATAACATCCTGTCTGCTCCGTTGGTATTAATAACTCACTGAGAGATAAGTTCTGTCAGAAGCGGAGGATGATATTTATTGAGGCTAGAAGCTGCCGCAGCATCGCTCAGAGGATCAAACTCAAGCTGAGCCGGCCAATGACCAAATATCCAACGGTCCGGCTATATGAATTAGGTCAATATAATTCTCCTCACCATGGACACACCGCAAGCCACATTCTGGGGCTGTGCTGCAGCATGTGGAGGGCATAGGCTGGTTAGTGTGAATAAGACACGACTGAGGGGAGGTTTGTCCAAACTGTTCACTATTGTTCAGTCCTAATAGATCCGTTTCAACCACAGTGACTTGAATTTTTTCTTGCATTTGCTTCTTTTTAGTATTAGCTGCCTGTGATTGGTTGCGATGTCCAGCGCTCTCATGCATCAGCTGGAGATGTTGGTCCTAAACAACATGGTTGTCGTTTTTTGGTAGAGATAAGTGTCTGGTTTAAGGATTTTTCTGGAAGCACAGACATTTTTCTGATGGATCACCATGGTGATGTAACTTCATGATTCAGTGTGTGAGGAGGGTGTAAGTATTTCACACGAGTGTGTTGCCATGAAAAGCAGTTCATCCGGCTGAGATTAAACACCATATTCTTATGAATATTAATGATGGTTTCCTGTCTGTTTGTTTGTGCACATGATTTTTATTGTGGGAACAACAGTAAATGATAAGTTTTTTGATGCGTCTCTGTGTGACATCTCGGCATTATAGATGTTTTTGTGAAATGACTAGATCAGAAGTAGCTGGTCATTAAAGTTATTAAATAAAAGGGAAAGAGCACAAAGCGTTTATATTTATATTTGTATAACAATCAAATACAAATATTTATATAAAAATCAAATTGAATAATTTCTAATTGATTAATAACTTTTGGCACTGCAGAGTATATTTATATACTCAGTGTAGAAATCCACATGTAATCGTCAGTGCTGAACCGACTGAAATGAGCTTTTACTACACATGTTGTGCATCATGTGT